TGGTTGGGAGCCTGCAAAGTGTTACAGGTTCAAGGAGCACAGAGTGGGCTGAGTGAATCTGGAGACCCGGACATGCCACCAACCAGCTGAGCGAGATGGGCCCTAACCCCTCTCGTCCTTTATAAAATGGGTGTGAAAATACCGACCCTGCCCACCTCCTAGCTTTATAAGGAGATCAAGTCAAATGAAACAATCTATGTGGAAAGCCTCAGGTTCACACAGGTATAAGATACAGTCTTCAAGGTGCCCAGTTTGCCCTGAGCTAGTCACCATCTCATTTTTCTACTGAGAGTTTCCCACAGAAGCACATCTTTGAATTTCGAATTCACCTTAAAGTAATAGAATCTGATGTATAGAAATAGTCAGGATAGTCAACTTTTTCTTTTTCCCACTGGAAGACATGTATTCTCTAAATCCCCAGACTCTTACAGGTGAAATTCTTAAGTATCTCAAGATGTTAAGAAAATTGAGCTACCTATTATTCAGACCATTATAAATCCATTTGAGCCCTTCCATCATTGAATGAGTGATTTCTTCTTTCTTTGATGGCAGCAATGCTCAGAATTGTTGAGATCTGGGTCGTGTTTTGCGAAAGGAAACTAAGAGTTAGCGTATCTGTCAGGGACCAGAATGAATGAACACAAACGTCCCTCAGCCAATTGTTCCTCATTAATCCTTCCAGAGTTCCAGAACCATGTTCTGGGTAAGTGGCAAATGGTGAGGTGATAAACGGAAGAGGAAGAAGTGTGAGGAATGCAAGCAAGACAGAAGAATCCTGAGGGGTAGGGGAGGTCTCCAATGAACAAGAACTTGCTGCTTCCTTCTCTCCTTCCTTTCTTCCCCTTCTCTCCCTTCTCTTCCCCCTTCTCCCTCTTTGCCTTTACTTGAATGAGTCTCCATCATGAGGTTCCCTTAAACAGACTCCTATTTATCTGTGTGATTGGCCACAACCACCAGGATTAAATCTGGCTTCCAGTGTTGATTCAATAATCAACACTGTGTGCAAGTGGAGGTGGTGTCATGTCACCTGTAGGATTCTCACACATTTCCACGGGCTTCCTTTCAGCTTATCTCATGCAGGGTGTTTACATCAAAGGGTCTCTGCCTCATTCTCCACTTTGAATCATACAGCAAATGTCCCCTTTGACTATCCTGGTTCTGGGTGTATACCAGCCTTAGAAAGGCAGTGAGGTAGAAGAAAAAAATTCATCTGGACACAAAGAAACACCTAGCACAATGACCTGCAAATAAAAGGCACTCAATAGATGCGTTCTTATTCAATACATAATGAGGTGAACTTGAGCTATATCCAGAGGAAGGATGTTGGCCCAGGCTGGGATTGGGGGATACTTCCTGGACGGGATAAGTGAGGGTAAGCCAAGCCAAACAATGTGGGAAGGGTGTCCCAGGAGATGGGAAGAGCCTGAGCAAAGACATGGAGGGCAACACAGCAGAACCCAATGCCCAGAGATTGCCACAAAACTTAGGATAAGCATGGCTTCAGATGTGAGGCAGGGTGTGGTGTGAAGAGGGGAAATACGGACTGAAAATAAAACAATGAGAAATACATGACCACATTCATAACCCAAGGAACAAAGCAAATGCTGTGACCCTTGAACCATCTCTGCATGCCTGAAACGAGAAGGGTTGAAACACGCTCACTGTTTGAAACAGACGAGAATCAAAGAGTGGTCTGACTTGTCTATGTTGAGATAGGTTTTTCGTTTTGTTATTTTCAGACATACGCCTCGACTATGCCTCCCATCTCTCAGAAAAAAGGAGTCGCTGTCTGTTTGAGCCCTTACCAAGTCTCTCATCAGGGTCAGGAGCCTGAACTTTTTCATGTCATCATGGGTTGGGTCTGACACACAGAGTAGACATTTATCAAATGTATGTTGACTGAATAAATACACATGGAAATGTTTGAGTGCTATAGAGCAGGAATCAGCAAGTTTTTTTCTGCAAAGTGCCAGTCTGTAAATATTTCTGGTTTTGTGGGCCATAAAGTCTCTGTCACAACCACTTAACTCTGCTGTTGTGATGCAAAAGCTACCATATGCAATATGTACATAAATAAGCGTGGCTGTGTTCCAATACAACTTTATTTACGAAAAACAGTTGACAGGCTGAATTTGCCCAGTGGATTTTGTTTTCCAACCCCTACTGTACACAATTCCATGGATAGTAAATTTTCTATGTCTTTGTTGAGCTGAAAATATCTTTATTTTGCAATTTGTAAATGATAGTTTTGCTGGGAATAAAATTACAAGTTGACATCTATATTCCCTCAGTTCTTTAAGGATAGTATTTCATTGTCTTCTGATATCAGTTATTGCTGGTTAGAAGTCTTTTCCAAGACCAATTGTTCCTCCTTTCTAGGTAATTTGCTTTTTCTATCTGGTGGCTTTAGATTTTTTTTTCTTTCTCGATGTTGTACAGTTGCAGCAGGAAGTGTCTAGGCAGAGATACTGTTTTTTCAATTTATAACATTTGGTATTAGGCATGACTTTTCAATTTGAGGATTTTTTTTTTTTTATTTCTAGAAAACTTTTAGCTCTCTCTCCCTGCATTGCTCCCTTGCCATCCTCTGGCCTCTCTGGAGTATCTATAGGTGAAACCCATATAAAGCACCTATTTTCTCTGTTTCTTCCTTACCTGGGTATTGTATATTTTTCTTTTATTCTTAAGTTGAGTCTGAGTTTAGTATTTGAAATCCAGGGGTATCATTAGGAGACTATTTTAGGTTATCCAGAGAGCAAGTTTTCCCATAAAGCTTTGTTCCTGACTGCCAGTCCGTCTGCAGACATTTCCAGGAGCTTTCCCTGTGCAAGGCACTATGCGAGGAGTTCAAAACTCACACTAATAAGTTCTTCTATTTAATCAAAGATTGCTCTGTCTGTGCCATCTTCTTAAACTCTCACTATACTTCCTGATGTAGATACTATTATTGTTTTCATTTTATAGATTATCAAGAAAACTGAGACCCAGGGAGGCTCCTATAATTTACCAAAGAGAATCCAGTATTCCAACCTTTACTGATGCGTGTCCAAGAGTAAGAGAGAGCTTTGTCTCCAGTTTCTCCTGTACAACTCCTGGGATCTATTGTGATTGGGACAACCTGGGCCTCATGTCCATCCCTGAATCAATTGCTGGGCTAGAAGGTTATGAAGGATGAGTTGACCTGGACTCTGAGACCTGCTTGGTCTTTGGAGCCAAAGGAAGTGTGGATGCTTTTCCCAGAAGAAGGCAACATGGATGGTGGACTGTAAAAAACACAAGGGCTCATAACAGGTGCCTAGTAATCCAAGGGCCTTGATTAAGACATCAGGTCTGTCTTGCGTTAAATTAAGTGAATTAAGTGCTTCTTCTGAGAGAAACCATGGTATTCAACAATTTCCAGCCTGCAATATGAAATGCAACTTGACAGGCTCTTCCGATGCCTCTCTCCAGACACATGTCTTTCCAGCATCTCTCACTCAAGAAGAACCAGTGACATCTTCCTTTATTTCTCTCTGTGTCCAGTGGTACAAGAAACAGTCTATCCTTAAAAGTAGGGGAATGAGATCATTCAAAGGGAAAAATCTGAATTCTGTTTTTGAGTGTGTTGGAGACTGCCTCCCAAATCACAATGCAACTACAAGTCTAAGGCCAGTGAGTGTGTGCATTGTGTGATTACAGGAATGCCCAGGAAATCATTGTGTACAAACTATCACTATGCCAGTCATACCCGGGTCAGAGTATCTGGAGTTTCAGAGTTGAACCTTAACTATCTTAAGTATTCACTCAGTTGCTTGGATCAAAAACTAGAGGAAGCATTCTCCTAGTAAGTAATTGATTAACCTTGCAATTATAGTGACCTTATAGGACAGAGTAGAATTGCCCTATAGGGTTTCCTGGTAGATTCAAACTGCTGACCTTTTGGTTAACAGCTGAGCTCTTAACCATTGTGCAACCAGGGCTCCAATTATAGGCAAAGGTGAGAAATAAGAAACAAATCAGTGTACATTAGAATTGCTATGGAAGCTTCTTTAGTTATTTGATAACAAAGGTACTTCCTACTGACTCAGGCAATTGAACGTGACCCCAGCTTAAAACGGGAATGGGATGAGTTCTAAGGGTTTTTCGTTTTCTCCTGGCTCTGTAAACCTGAAGTCAGTAATTAAAAAAAAAAACTTACGAACCTACTATTTACCAGACACTCTTAAGATAAAAGTAGGTGTAACCCTTAATGTGGTTATGAGGCCTTATACATCTGGCTCATCTCTACAACCTCGTCTTGCCTCACAGTTCCTGATGCTTTAGCCACACAGGCCTCCTTTCAGCTTCTTCAATTTCTGTCCACCTAGTGACCTTCGCTTAGACTGTGTTTTCTGCCTAGAATGTTCCTCTCCCCCTCCTTCCCCACTCTACCTGGCCAGCACCTACTCCATCCCGACCCAGTCTAGGTCAAATCCCCTGTTACTTTCTGCTTTTGATAGTACGTATCACAGCAATGATTATATACCAGGGATGCATATAAAGCCGTCACCCATGTGGTCCAGTCTCAGGGCAGGGTCACAATTAAGGAGACACAATTCAGTAGCCAAAGTAACTTGAGTTCTTGATTGAATTTCCCATACGCTGTAAAGGGAGATACATAGATTAAAACCCTTCTTCACATTTTCCTCTTTTATCTCTTGTCCTCTTCCCTCACACCTACAGCTCTTCACTTCTCTCTCAACTCCACCTCTTAAGAGCAGGAGTCGAAAAATCACATTGCAAAGAGAGTGGATATAGAAAGGGATGGAGAATGATAGTTATATTTGTGTAATTTATCACAGCTTAATAGCAAATCTATCATTTATGTTTCACATTTCAAGAACATTTTTAGCCCTAGCAAGACACATTTCTTCACTATACCCAAATTCTGCCTCTGTCCCATACAACATAATCCATGTCGCTCTGACCTCCTGTCAAGTGATGAAGATGTGACGTGCTCACTTCTAAATTGTTTTTCCCAGCATTGAGCTGTGTGGGACGGATGGGCACATGCTGCCCCTGGTGATGGCCAATGGAGAGGAGCTGGTGCTCGGGGTCCATGTCTCTGCTGGTTACAGGCTGTGTGACTCTGAGCTCTGTAAACTAGGGATGGTAGCCCCACTTCCCTCAAAGGGCCATTGTGAGGGTTCCATGAGACCATGCAAGGCAAATGCTTGGCATGGTGCTAGACATCCTGGATGCGCTCAGTCAATGCTAGCCACTATTATTGTTTTTGATGGTCGTCCAGAGCCTAGCACCAAGTCTGTGCTCAGGGATGTTTGTTGAATGAACTAATTAATAATTTGAGACCAGCTTTTCTGAGAGCAAAGAAATTGAGGTCATACGAGGAAACGAAGGCAAGGAGATTTGGCCAGCTTCTTGGGTGTCTTTAGGAATAATATTGCTCCCTAATCTGCTGTCTCATGCTCCAAAGTGTGGGTTGTTATATAGCGAACAGGTGAATAACCCAAGACAGAGAAGGAGGACAAGAGAGCTTTTTCTCAGATGAACTTATAAATGCTTTCTCTCTCTGTTAGATTAGCAAAACCGTGATGACAGCGGAGGGTGATGGAATATTATTGGAGAAGTTCCAAGCTGATTTTGAACTGGGCTTGGAGGAGGTGCTTGGTGGAAGCCCTTCTTCTGATGGACAGTCGTTGCTGGAAGACAGATGGGCCATAATTGCTGAAGGAGGCAGGGGGCATGGTGGGAGAGGACTAAACTGTCTCAGGGGAGGAAGGGCCTGTGAAGGGATCCTCCAAGGGCCCTGGTAACATTTGAAATGGGGCACACAGCCTCAAGCGGAAGCTTCTGGGTATGGGAAATCCTGAACCCAGATGGTGGGAAAATCCTCAGAAACTTTAGGATTTGGGTCTCTGCAGCTGGGCAGCAGCTGTGGGCCTGCAATTGGAGCCCACCACAGGTGGCACCACCTGCTCTGGTTTCCAAATTCTTCCTGATCCTCGTCACGGAGGCCCTGTCATTTCTTATCCCAATGTTGTGGGGAGTGTGGAGGAAGGGTGGAAAGAGACCATTTGTTGAAAGAACTTAGTGAGATGGGTGTTGGGCCTGGAAGCCATCCAGAGGTGCAGGGTTAATTACCAAAAAGGCCTGGAACAGCAGGTTCTCAGTTGTTTCCAGTGATGCCTCAATTAAATCAGCCCTGACGTCACGTTTTCTGCACCTGCAGTGTTGTGTGGTCAACGCTGGGTAATGCGGGCTCCATAAATTTAGAACTTATAATTGTTCTGACAAGGCATGGGTTGGATCTCCTTTTTGAATTATCTGTGAAAAAGCAAATTAAGAGCATACTCCTGATTGCATGGGACATGCCTAACCTACTTACGGGAACACACTCTTGTGGTGCCTTTTCAGAACAGCTGTTAGCCCATAATAAATTAATAGGGTAATTACCAATGATTTGCTTCCAGGTCTACCAGAATTCTGGTGGGCACCATTCTCTTAGTTAGTATTGTGCTCGAAGTCACACTAAGGCATGCGCGGTAGCACTTAACTTCTTACAAACGTTTCCTTTCTGACCTACACTGGATACTTCTTCACCTGCCATGAGGCCAAGTAGGAGTCAAGGGCTCATGTCTGGAGTCAAGAAGCATGGGTTCCTGTCCCAGCTCTGCCATTTGCTAGCCTGGTACGTTCCTTAATCTCTTGGGGCCTCTATTTCTCCACCTGTAAAATGGGGAACATAGTAGCACCTAAGGCCTCCTGTCGGAGCCATGGTGGCACAGCGGTTAAGAGCTTGGTTGCTAACCAAAAGGTCGGCAGTATGAATCCACCAGTCACTCCTTGGAAACCCTATGAAACAGTTCTACTCTGTCCTATAGGGTCGTTATGAGTTGGAATCGACTCAATAGCAACGAGTTTGGTTTTGGTTTAAGGCCTCCTGTCAGCACCAACTTGCCAGACATGAGAGTGGGTCCCATTGGAAGTAGATCCTCCAGCCCCAGTCAAGCCTTTGGATGACTGTAGCCCTTACTTACATATTTTTTAAATGATTTTATTTTTGTTTTATTGTTAAAAATATACAGAGCAGAATATACACCAATTCGACAATTTCTACATGACAATTCAGTGACATTGATTACATTCTTCAAGTTGTGCAACTATTCTCACCCTCCTTTTCCAAATTGTTCCTCCATCATTAACATAAACTGGATGCCCCCTAAGCTTTCTAGCCAACCTTTTGAGTTGCTATTGTCAATTTGATCCCATATAAATGATTCTTTAAAAAAGCACAATGCTCAAGGCAGACTTTTTTTTACTAATTAAGTTAAGCTACTGTTTGGTTTAAAGAAGACTTTAGGGGATATTTTTGGCTGAAGGTTTAAGGTTTGAAGATCATCTCAGGGTAATTGTTTCAGGGGTTCATCCAGCCCCCATGGCTCCAGAAAGTCTGGATTCGATGAGAATTTGAAATTCTGTTCTATATTTTTTCCCTTTTGTTCAGGATTCTTCCACAGAATATTTAATCAAAATGTTCAGTAAGAGTAGCTGGGCACCATTCAGTTCTTCTAGTCTCATGGCAAAGGAGGCAGTAGTTAATGGAGGCAATTAGCCACACATTCCATTTGATCCTCTTATTCCTTACTCTCCTTCTTCCTCTCTTGCTCCTGGTCTACATCTTAAGTGCAACCTCATGAAAGACCCCCAAGCCAGAATTAACCATCTAGGCCCCTCCCAAATTCCTGACCTACAGAAACTATGGGAGACAATAAATGTTTATTGTTTTAAGTAAAATCCTACTACTACTAATAGTACTGACATATACGGTTATTCTGAGGATAAAATGAGTCCGTGCAGATAAAGTGATTAGTACAGTTTTAGAATACACGAAGTGCTTGTAGATGGTACTTTGGGAAGGTTTGTGTTGTGTGAAAAGGAAAGAGCAAATAAAATATACATGCTCAGAAAGGAGAACTGAGATAAGGTTGCCAGATTTAGCAAAAACAAATGAACTAACAAAAAAAATCCTGACAGGACACCCAGTTAAATTTGAACTTCAGATAAATAATAAATAAAATTTTAGTATAAGTATGTTCCATGCAAAATTTGGGACACACTTAACGCTGAAAAATTATTCATTGTTTATCTGAAGTTCAAATTTAACAGTATCCTATATTTTATCTGGCAACTCTAGATTGAGGGGATGTAGTTCCTCATAATCCAACAGAATGGAATCCCTGGGTGGTGCAAATGGTTAAGTACTTGACTACTAGCCAAAGGTTGGTGGTTTGAACCCATCCAGAGATACCTCGAAGACAGGCCTGGAGATCTGCTTCCCAAAGGTCACAGCCTTGAAAACCCTATGGAGCAGTTCTATTCTGCACATGTGGGGTCACCATGAGTTTGTATCTACTCTACAGCAACTAGCAACAACAATAATCCAACAGATGCCTGTTAGTGGAGTAGTTTATCCTTTTATTCCCTAATTTAAAAAATAGCAATTTTTTAACCTTTTTTTGTTGTACTTTAGATGAAGGTTTACAGAACAAACTAGCTTCTCATTAAACAGTACACGTATTGTTTTACAACACTGTTTAAAAACCCCATGACATGTCAACACTCTCCTTTCTAGACATTGAGTTCTCTATTACCAGCTTTCCTGTCCCCTCCTGTCTTCTAGTCCTTGCCCCTGAGCTGGTATGACCCTTTAGTCTTGTTTTGTTTTATGATTCTGTCTAATCTTTGGCTGACGGGTGAACTTCAGGAGTGATTTTATTACTGAGCTAAAAGGGTGTCCAGGGGCCATACTCTCAGGGTTTCTCCAGTCTCTGTCAGGCCATTAAGTCTGTTTTTTTTGTGTGTTTTAGAATTTTGTTCTACACGTTTTTCCAGCTCCTTCCAGGACCCCCTACTGTGATCTCTGTCAGAGCAGTCAGTGGTGGTAGCCAGGCACCATCTAGTTGTACTGGACTTAGTCTGGTGGAGGCGGTGGTGGTTGTGGTCCATTCGCCCTTTGGACTAATCTTTCCCTTGTATGTTTAGTTCTCTTCATTCTTCCTTGCTCTCAAAGGGGTGAGACCAGTGGAGTATCTTAGATGGCTGCTCACACTTTTAAGACCCCAGACGCTACTCACCAAAGTAGAATGTAGAACATTTTCTTTATAAACTATGTTATGCCAATTAAGCTAGATGTTCCCTGAGACCATGGTCCCCACAGCCTTCAGCCCAGCAATTTGGTCCCTCAGGGAGTTTGGATGTGCCTACGGAGCTTCCATGACCTTGCCTTGTACAGGTTGTACTGTCTTTCCCCATACTGTGTACTGTCTTACCTTTCACCAAAGTTACCACTTATCTATTGTCCAAAAAATAGCAATTCTTGACTATTAAACCTTTCTTTGCTAAATATCAGACCTGGCAACAATACAGAGGAAACGTCATTTTTGTAGCATATTAGTGGAAGTGTAAGTCAAAATGATTGTTACGTAAACAGTTTGTCAAAATGATTGAAGAACTTGAAAATGTCCATACCCAAGCTTTGACTTTGAAGATGTTCATCACAGTGTTACTTAAAATAGCAAAAAACCTAAAAAAAAACAAAAAACTATTGCTTAAATAGTACTAATAATTTGACATTTTTTCCGAAGTTTTCCAGTAAGAAGTGAGACATCCTTGGATGGCTGTCAATAAAGGGTTAGCGTGACAAAAAATAAACAAAGATGCAGCCCTTTCCTGCACCCAGCCCACTATGACCTGCGCTGGAATGGCTATCTTCGAAGGGACTCTTCCCATGCAGAGGGAATCTTTGTTTCTCTGAGTTGGCCTTTTCTCTGCAGTTCATTGACCCTAACTCCATGAAAGTGTGTCTAAGGCTCACAGAACCTGACATCAGAGTGTTAGACCCAAGTCTTTGGAAGCACAATGGATTCATACACCATTTCTCTTTTGCATACCTTCTCAGGGATACCATTTTTGCCGAAAGTAAAATATACCTGACAGAGTTTCAGATGAGGGCCCAAGAATGCTTAGGGAGGTGGGGCCAAGACGGTGGAGTAGTCAGATGCTTCCGGTGGACCCCCTTACAACAAAGACTGAAAAAATAAGTGATTCAATTATATATAGCAATCTGGGAGCCCTGAACATCAAAGGCAGAG